GACCAATGTAGTAACACACAAGTACATAAATGTACATGTACACAGTATACTGTAAACATGAGAATTAAGCTATGTAGAATTGCATGTACATGTACATGTACATGTAAAAAAATTATTTTTAGTAGCTACAGATCATGTGTAAACTGTAACATAAAAAACACAAAAATAAAAAATTAAAATAATAAAGAAAACAGTGAAATATCCCAAAATAACCGTCAGAACAATAATTACTTATATTTTCATTGATCCTTCTCCTTTGAAAGGTCATTTTGGTGATGTGTTCAGTGCCGGCTACATACCTGAAGGTTTTAGTCCAGAGGACTCCATCAAAGTAGCAGTTAAGACAGCAAAGAAAGGAGTCTCTGAAGAGAAAAGGAAAGAGATACTGAGAGAAGTGTCTGTCATGACTAATATGGTCCATCCTAATCTCGTGAGACTCTATGGGACAAATGAAGAGGACGGACTGCCATGGCTTGTGTTGTAATACCTGCCTCATGGTGACCTCAAGCATTATCTACAAGTAAATGCAATTTTGATTGCAGGGTCATTAATGACCCTTACAAAAGACTCATACTTTAAACCAAGTGTTTTTATACCCTGCTGTTTGTAAAAGGCTATCGTGGGTTGCTTGAAAATGTGGTTAACACTTCTGTACTTTTGTAAACTATACAACAATAGTGGCTTTTGGACCAACTTAACACATAGAGTAGATTGGTATCATTCTCTCTCTCTCTCTCTCTCCCTCCTTGTCCAGAATCACTAGTGAAGTACATGGTTGATGTAGCAATGGGAATGCACTACATAGTAGAGTGAGGACTAGTGCACAGAGTAAGTCTAAATACACTACATTCATTATGTACATGTACATTGTCTCCAGTGATTGCTTTGCTGGAAAATTTTAAAATTTGTTAAAAAACCAAATTTTGATCGGAATCAGTTCAAACTTTCTATGCAACATAAGTACATCAGAGAATGTCATAAAAATAAAGAATTTTCACCTTTTCATTTTTGGCAAAATTTGGCCTGTGACCCTGTACTATAGTACAGGGACTTTGGCCCAATTTTTGAGCAACTTTACAAATTCATAAAAAAATCCAATTTTGATCAGAATCAGTTCAAACTTTCTACACAACATAAGTACATGCATATGCATCAGTAAGTGTCATAAAAATAAAGAATTCTCACCTTTTCATTTTTGGCAAAATTTGGCCCGTGACCCTGTACTATAGTACAGGGACTTTGGCCCAATTTTTGAGCAACTTTACAAATTCATAAAAAATCCAATTTTGATCAGAATCAGTTCAAACTTTCTACGCAACATAAGTACATGCATATGCATCAGTAAGTGTCATAAAAATAAAGAATTATCACCTTTTCATTTTTGGCAAAATTTAGCCTGTGACCCTGTACTATAGTACAGTGTAGAAGGGAACTGAGCCCTTAAATAAACAATTTTTTTACAAAATAGATATAACACAGGGATAAATAGTAGGTTAATAAATGAGATAATAATAACGGAAATAAGTGATAGAAAAATAATAAGATAAAATGAATAGGCTAGGTTAGGGTAAGATGAGCTTCTGAGATAGCTCTGCAGAAATCGTTTGAATCAAATGATCTCACTCTTGATCGTGATCCTTGTAAGCACCTGATTGCTGCCTTGAGAATAGCGAATGAGTATTGACAGCGAATCAGGTTAATGGTGACACTATAGGACCTCTGAAACTTCTCTGAGTGAAGTGTTGCTAGGCGCTTAATAAACAGAGCTGACACAGGGCCAAATCCCCCAGAAGTTGAAAAGACCAAAGGTGAGAAGCAGCCATGTTCAGCCTCTCTAATCCTCTGTTCATACTTCCTAGGGACTTTAGCCCAATTTTTGAGCAAATTTACAAATTCATAAAAAAATCCAATTTTGATCGGAATCAGTTCAAACTTTCTACGCAACATAAGTACATGCATATGCATCAGTAAGTGTCATAAAAATAAAGAATTCTCACCTTTTCATGATCATTTTCGGCAAAATTTGGCCTGTGACCATTTATTCATTCTTGGTCCGATTTTAAGCAGTTTTTAAATATCCTTTACTTTTATTCCAATAGGATTTAGCAGCTCGTAATGTACTAGTAGGACATGGTGAAATATGCAAGGTAGCTGATTTTGGATCATTAAGAGAACTACCTGAAGATGATTCAATCTATGTGAGCTCTTCTAACATACCTTGTCCTATAAGATGGATGCCTCCTGAAGCTATTTCAAAGAGATCATTCTCAGTTGCTTCTGATGTTTGGTCCTTTGGTATACTACAATGGGAGATGATGAACCCAGGGAAACTACCTTATGCTAACTTTGGAAGCTATGAAGTAAGAACTTGAGGGAAGCGGATTGGGGAACTGTAATTTTAAATAATTGTATTTAATTTTGATTTTTCAATAGCAAAAAATGGCATGTACATGTACATGTATGTAGACTGCATAC